TCTTTTGTTAGCCCTCACCAGAGGATGTTTTTTTTCTATTGCTTTTTCAGAGAGTGGAAGGGACGGAGGGAGAGGGAGAAAGAGAGAGAAACATTAATGTGAGAGAGACACATGGACTGGTTGCCTCCTGCTCACTCTCTTGGAGGCTGGGAGTGAACCCGCAACCAAGGTACGTGCCCTTGACCAAGAATCGAACCCAAGACCCTTTGGTGTGCGGGTGGACACTCTAACCATGGAGCCACACGGGCCAGGGCTGATTTGGTATTCTTTAAGAAGCCCTCCCACTTATCTTCACTCTACATCCTGTGGCTTCTGGTTTGTTTGTTTGTTTGTTTGTTTTCAGAAATATATAAAATAATTGTAATTATAACCATAGAAAACATAGTCTAGTCTATCAGTACTTGTTTTTTGAGGAGAGAGATGGAAACATTTATACTTCTTTACTGCTTTTTCATTAACTGTGCTGAGAGACTTCTGAGCAATGGTTACATCTAGTACAAATATGAAATAAATCTATATGTTAAACAAGAACAGTAGATGTCCAAGATCACAAGATGTTTAGTAGAGTTTTAAAATAAAGCAGTTATTAATTAAATTTGACAATAGAAAGGGCATGTGGGTGCAGGGAAAGAGGAAACTGTCCAAGTGGTGAAATCATGGGCCATAGTAATAAATGAAATAATAAGATAAATCAGTGTTAGCCAAGGAGAGAATATTGGCTTTGAAACACAATTGAACTGATTGAAGCCTCTGAGTGAGAAGCTCTGGAGTATTACCTAATGGGGTGGCTCCCTGCCTACCGGCCATGTAGTCGAATGACCAAAGGACTGGCACCTGACCCAAGATGGGCTAAAATGTTGCTCACCCCTTGGAATGTTAAACTTGAAATGAGAAACATAGAGAGCAGTTGCTGGACTTGAACGTGGTAGCCAGTAGCATTTTAGAGAAAAGATCAAGGAATTTCTAGCCGTTATCCTAGAAGCTATCCTTATGCGTACATTTCCTCAACTTTGAGTTTTAGCTCTATTTCAGATTGTATGAAGCAGTTCAGATTTTTTTCAGCAGATGTCTTTGTGCTTAAGTGAGCTAGAATTGGCTTTTGGGTTGCTTGCAAGCAAAAAAAAAAAAAGTATGACGTTTTGAGGTCAATTTCATCTCTCATTTTGATTCTCACTCACTCAAATATACCAGAGATTTTGTTAGTCAGAAGAGAGAGAGTGGTGAATGAAATGAACATGATTTCTGCTTCATGAATCTTTCAGTCCAACAGAGAAAATAGACACTGATAAAGAAATTAAAGTATGGAAATGGACAGGTTTCATTCAGTCGTCGAACAAGTATTATGTATAAGGCACTTGTCTAGACCCCTGGAAGACTAGTAAAGAAAACAAAGATCTTTGCCCTTAAATATTTTAGCTGGAGATGAAAACAATAAGCAGTAAACTTATTGGTTTTCTTATATAGAAATGCATAAATAAATAATACGGATTTAGAAAGTGGTAAATGCTATGGTAAAAGAAATTTTAAAAATGAACCAAGAGAAACGGAAAACCAAAAAGCTTAGAAACCAGAGAGATACGACAAGGCGGAGAAACTGAGAGATTATTAGAGCTAAAATATTGACAACAAGGCCAGTGGCTCAAAATGAGAATGAAGAGGTTAGCTAGAGTAGACTGTTAAGGACTTTATAAGCCAGAGTAGACTGCTATGTACTTTATAAGCCACTTTGAGGATTTTGAACTTTATCCTAAGGCAATCCAAAGCCACTTAAGAGTTTTAAACTACAGACTGGCATGATCAGATTTGCATTTTAAATTTATCGTTCTGCCAACAACCTGGAAAACACATAGAAAGCAAACAGTAGTGGATGGGAGAGAATAATTAGGAGGCTTTTATTCTAGTCCAAGTGAGAAACGGTGATGCCCTTGACTACCATGTGTTTCATGAATTGAAAAACAGTAGCTGTGTGAAAATGGCTGTTATCGAGGTTTAGATTTTCAGCTGCTCATATTTGGAATAAATGAATACCTACCTAGCTTTATCTTCTAAATTCTTATATTCTTTTTTTTTCCTCCCTAGTGAGATAATACAGGTGACGTAGGAGAAACCACAGGCTCTGTCTGCCATTCCACTGTTAGGTCTTGATCAAGGGTAGCATACTGGTAAGCAGTGGGCCATTTGACCCTCACGATTTGTTATGACATCTTGTCATACTCACATTTTTTTAAAGGCAGCGAAACCAGACAGGTGTTATGCTTGGTTGTCGCACAAGCAATTCAGCACTTAACCGTTTTCATGGGTATATGTTAAAGTTATGCCTTCCTGTAATTATTTAAATTTTTAATTTCAGGCATAGATACTAATTATACTCTAAGTGGTCAGTTCCTTCTCTTCTTTGACCTGGGTCTAGCTCAGGCTCTTTCTGTCCCAAAAATGTAGAGAGAAATTACATCCAACCTTCAGCTCCATTGTTTTAAGTCTTGCCAGTTCCAGATGGAATAACAAAGGGAAAAAGGACTTTTAATTCCCTTGTCATCCCTCCAAAGATTTCCCCTCTCATTCTTGAGGAAGTGAGAAAAGGAAGAGTGCCAAGTACCACCTCTCACGATATTGGAACATGGTTCCCTGTGGCCCAACTGAGTGTCCTTAATTCTTGAGAAATTTGCCTTTTCTCCTGGGGTAGGTAGAATGAGGGATTGGAGCTTAAGGACATGGTTTTTAACTGTTTCCGTTGCAATACTGTATTATAAAAACGTACTTTTAAAAAAATAGGTTTCCATCTTGTATTACTTTGTGTCTTGGAGTTTCTCCCTCATGAATTTCTTTGCATCTTGTTTGAAGTGAACCATTTTAAAATTTATATCCTGTCCTACTTTTATTTCAAGAACTTACTTAAAATATCTTTCTTTCTCTTCGCTCAGATATGCATGAACACTTTATGCATTTCACACTCTTTTAGATGGAGAAAGGAATATGCTAATCCGAACAGTGGTAAAATCAGACGCAGAATAAAGATCTCATTTTCAAGAGTGGACAGTATGCAGCATCTTCTTATTGCTATCAGTTTTCTCCATTGTTAATATAAGTGCAAAAAGACATGGATTACTAAACCAGGCAGAATGTGAATTTGGGAGTGTTCTCAGTTCGATGGAGCCCAGCATAGTGGGTGTTTGCTCCTTGAGGGCAGGAAACATGTTCTCCCTTTTGTATACCCTACTCCCCACAAAGAGTCAAGCATGTACATACCAGCTCCTCGAGCATGCTTAGATGAGTGGAGTAAATTGAAATTAATGATAGACTTAGGAGACATCTCATACTGTGCTTAATTTTACCAGGAATCACCAGGGATGGCCAAAGGACAGATTTTCACTAGGAATTTTGAGTGCTGGATTATGTGACTGCGTGGACATACCCAAGAAAGGAAAAGTCCAGGGAGAAGCTACTGGAGAGCATACTAGAAATTAGACAAGTGATCCTCCAATTTGAGTGCTCAAAAAGATCACCATAACTTGGCCAGCGTGGCTCAGCAGTTGAGCACTGACCTAGGATCCAGGAAATTGAGGTTCGATCCCCAGTCAGGGCACAAGCCCAGGTTGCAGGCTCAATCTCCAGTAGGGGTCGTGCAGGAGGCAGCCAATCAATGACTCTCTCATTGATGTGTCTATCTCTCTCTCCCTCTCTCTTCTTCTCTCTGAAATCAATAAAGATATATTTTTTTAAAAAATCACCTGGAAGACTTTGAGAAGCCCAGAACGCTAGGCCCTACCCACTGGGAATTTCTGATTCAGGTGATCTGGAGTGGGCTCTGAGAATTTGCATTTCTAACAGTTTTCCTCCTGGTGGTGTTGAGGCTGCTGTTCCAGGTAGCCCACTGTGAATGAAAACTACTGAATTAGACCTTGGAGAGCTGGCCCAGCTAGGGGGATCTGGGCAGGCTGCTTGCTCTGTGATCTGTGCAGAGAAGGGGTGATTTTGGAGATTTCTGAGAGCATTACCTAAGTGAACATCAGAATAGTTTTAAGCGTCTTGCTTCCTCCTGCTCAAAGGACTGATGGCTACGCTCTGGCAGGGAAAGGAGAGAATGGCTTCAGGAGCTCAAATGAGAGTTCAAACGAGCTGACAAAAGAGATAGAATGCATGGAATCGACTTAGTAATGCTTTCAGCTAAGTTCATTTGGGTTGGCAATGTGAAACCAAGTACATATGTCTAAGCTAATTTATATATAGGTTTTCCCCAAAATATCCTTTCACTGCAAGGAAAGTTTCTGTCCTTTAGCTGATTGTACATACATCAAGGTAAATGGGAAGGTGGAGAAAGCCCAAGGAGAAGGGAAAGCCCACTCACCTAGAGAAAGGATTTAGGAGAAACCATGCCCTCTCCCCACCCTTCACCCTCAACAGTCAATTAGTGCAATCTCCCAGGTAAACAGCCTTAGGTCGTTTCTGAAACAGTGACAACAGCTTCAGCAACAGGGTATCACGGGGACACATTTCACCTCATTGCAATATTGAAATGGAAACTACCTAAAATTTAGAGCTGATTTCATATGCTTCACTGTGCTCAGCTAATTAGGTTTCTTACATTTTAAAACTTGAGTATGGTGTCTTTGCATACTTTTCTGTGTTTCTTCCAGAATTTTTTATAAGCAGTAATCATTTAGGACTTTGGGGGACACTGGCATTCATTTTCATTACAGAATTCCATGGACTCGGGTGGATTTTCTTAATTTGCCAACGAAAAGGAATAGAGGCATTACAATAAAATCAACTATGTAAAAAAAAAAAAAAGTGGTACATTTTGGTAACCAAATGGTCAAATGCTTTAATTTAAAGTAATTTTTGTTAATTTGGGAATATTTTCAGAGAAAACCTATTTAGTGATCCTTCCAGTGTAAGCTCAGCTCACATATAAAAAGCCACATAAAAATGACTCTGGAGACCTTGCTGCACATCCAGCGGTCACATATTTCAATGCTTCATTGCTCCCGCTCCTGTTACAGGTACATGTGACAGCGCTGCAGCTATGAGTGGAATTTTAAAGAGGAAGTTTGAAGAAGTTGACGGCTCCTCGCCCTGCTCCTCCGTGCGGGAATCAGATGATGAAGTTTCCAGCAGCGAAAGTGCTGACAGTGGGGACAGTGTCAATCCATCCACCTCTAATCATTTTCCCCGTGAGTACAGAAACGTACCTGAAGCTGATTGTCTGGCTCTACAGTGAAAATAATTGTATCATCTTATTCAATTTATTTTTTTAACCTTTATTACTAGTGTGTGTTTGTTTGTTTGTTTTTACAGTTGATCTAAAAACAAATCATGATTAAGTAAAAGTGAAATATGTTGGAGGCAACAATGGATTCTTTTATTTAGGTTGCTTTAGGCAGTGAATTATTTGGTTGTGTTAACCAACTGATTCAATGAAAAAATGATATTTCATTATTATTGCTTTTCAAAGGAAGCACCCTACTCTGGAAATAGATGGGAAAAGACAAGTAAAGGTGCAAAATATTTAGCCACCTATAACTGAACAATATTCTGGCATGTATTTGGGGGCTGGAGGTCTAGGTTAGGATGAGAAAGAGCTTAACCACCTATGCCTTAAGAGAATTAAGAAACAGCAAAACTCTCCCAAGTTTGAAAGTACATGCAGTTTAGACCTCTTTCCTACTCATGCTTTTATTCTCTCATCCCCAAGAATAATATTTAAAGCCCACAAAGAAGAAAGAAAAAATGTGTGGTTTCTCTTTGATGCCTTTTGTGCCACACTAACATCATCCCTTCCTGTCAGTCAAGGTATTGTGAGGTTTGAAAGAATGGTGAGAAAAACTTGTAAAGTAATACAATCTACAAGCTAAAGGAAACTTACTAGTAAATAATCTTGAATTTATGTTTCCAACAGGAAGACGGTACTATATCATATGATATCATAATAGATAACTGGTCTTAGTTTTTCTCATTTTCAGTTAAGTAGCTGATTATATTAATATATGACTCTATAATATAGAATTTATTTTGGAAATATAACAATCCAGAAAACCAGAAGAATTAACCATATTTTTAAGAGGCTATAAGTAACTCAATAAACATGTTTTAGAACATGAAACATGTACTAAAATCAACAGCATTCCTTTAAGCAAGCAAAACTAATAGAAATTATAGTGAAAGGGCAATTACAGCTATTATAGCAGGGAAGATCATAAAATATTTAGGGACAAGGTAATTGTGTGATGTACATGATCTATAAATACATCTACATATGTCATTAGGGTATGATCTTATGTTTTTTATTCTAAAAAAAGAGATGTTTTTACCAATTCTGTCTTAATATTAATAGTGATAATAACAATGACATTATCAACTAACAGGGTTTTGTGAAGATCAACAGAGCAGGTGGGATAATACACATGAAAGAATTTGTAAAATGTCGAATACTAAACACGTTATAATAAAAATTATGATCATAGCAAACATTTATTAAATACTTATGCTCTAATAGCTTTATATACAGCCATCCTGGAAGTACCACTCCCTTCAATTTACAGAGGATACAACTGAGGCTCAGAGAGGCTAAAAGTCTTACCCAAGATCACACAGGATTTGAGCCTAGAGATACATATACTTGTCCCACTCCATAGTCTTCAACTTTTCATTATCTCATTATGCCCTTAATTACATAACATTAGACATATCTTTAAAATATTACTCATTGTGAGTATAAAAGCATGCTTGAATTAGTGAAGAGAGGCTACCTTTCTGGTTATTATGATAAAGCTATTAAAGCTTTTCACATTAACATAAACATAAGAGCGTGATTTCAATAAAATTCTCAATTGGATTGTCTTAAAGGTGATAGAATGATAAAAATATATTTGGAAAAATAAGCTAATGAGAATAAAAGGATATTTTTAAAAAGAAGCCATAAATGTTGAGAAGCCACTCAAGACATCAAATCATAGTAGAAAATTATATAATTTAACTTTTTTGGTTCTGGCTAGATCTAGGAAAGTATGGAAAATCTCATCATGTTACATAAAAGAATTTAATATATAAGGATAGAGCATTTAGAACACTGGTAAAAGGAAGGAGTGTTTAATAAATAGTTGTGGTGTTAGAGTTTGAAAATGAATACAGATCTCACAGCATATGCCAAATCACATTCCAGATGGATTAATTAGATAAATATTTTTTAAAAAACCAAATTATGGGGGAAGGTGTATATTTGTCAGACATTTGGTAAAATCATTATATGAACTTTAAAGTAACAGGGAAAAAAACTCGCAGTCCAATATACTTAACATATTTAATAATTTAAAAATATTAAACTTATCTGCTACAATAAAAGCCCAAAGGAAAAGTAAAACAATCACTATTGGGAAAAAAAAAATATTTGCAGTTAATATGGTATAGGGTTATTTTCTAGGTAAAGTATAAAGGAACACATGTACATTTTTAAAATAAATACAAAGACACACACCCTGAATATAACCTACGTAATAGAAAATATGATTAGCAAATATTTTTAAGCATTTACAACAATGATAATAATGCAGATTAAAACAATACTCATGAGATTTCATTAGTATGAAATCATGGAAATTTCATCTCCATGAAATCAGTGCTCCTCTATCCAATGAAAAATGCTAATTAATACTTAGGTGCTTGTGTCATAGGTACATACATTGTTATTGGTGGTAGTGAAATTTATCACTTTGGAAATGTAAGAGCCATAATATTCATACATGTAAGTCTGAACTTTATATAATTTATCTGAAGAGGGAAGTATCGCAAATAAAGGGAAAAGATGCATAAATGAAAATGTTGGTGCTTGATGGCAGTACCAAAAATCATGGGTTGGTGGTAGGTTGAAATAAGGTAACAGGCCTAAGAGTGGGGAAAGGATACATTAAGTTATGGTAACATATACAATTATTTTATTTTCATTATACTTATGAAGACTTTATGGCAATATGTAAAATGCTTATGAGACAATGTTAAGAAAAGCAGGACACAAAATTTTACCTACTGTCAGGAAAAGTTTATATATATATAAGGGCAAAGAATGGTAAGGTGCCCTAAAAACTGAAACTGATTTGATTTGTTGAAGTATTAGAATGATGGGTATATTTTTATTTCTGTTAATATTCTATGTATACCATAACAAATAAGTTTTAAATTTAAACGAAAATAACTTTAGTTCAGATTGTATGTATGTATGCAAACAGCAGATTAAATGGCATGATCAGCTCAGTCATGCAATATTTCAGCTAACTAAAGGCTTTTGCATATGTCCAGCAGAAATTATTTTTTCCATTGAAGAAAATAGGCATATTTTATGATGTCCAAAAGTTTTTAAAATGTTTTAGCTCATTACTAATTAGCAGTGGTTTTTGGTAATGATTAGTTTACTAAATTGCTGATTTAAGTTTGTATTAAATAAAATATAGCAGAGATTTTTCCTGATTTTTAAAGATAATTAAATGACTGATTTAATTAAAGTGCTGTTTTCATTTAATAGCTTGCTTAGTTCATCATATTTACATTATTGAGAGAAAGGAAAAAAACCAAAGAATTAAAAGATAAAAATTTTACCTAGAATACTTACCATATAAAGATCTGAGCCTGTTAACCAATGCGAGAGGAATAATTAATGGGGTTTTTGTTTCTAGAAATGTATTCAGATTATTTGCCAGTGCAACAATTGATGCACAAATTTTTAGAAAATATTTTATTTATTTTTTCATCTAGGTTAAAATATGTACTTACCTGCAGTGGTCTTATCTGCATGTGAATCTATGGACATACACTTTTGGAAATATTATTATTGATGAATCTTCTCTCCTTAATATATTTTCCTGCTTTCAGAAATAAAAAATGATTACATTAGAGTAAAGAAGGATTTTTGATGCCTATCAAATTCATGAAGCATGAGGGAATCAGATTTAGTTTCACCTTGAGATTGTTAAAAATATGGTTATTTAAATCTCACTCATCATGATCTCATCTTTCAAATTTAAAATATCCTATGTACTTAGTGCTTTTTAAGAACTAACATAGTGTGTAACATAACATTTTTTACCATTACAAATATAGGAATTGATAAGATTGTTTGGAACATGTCGGTAAACTATGATAGGGGAAAATTCCATGCTGTTCTAAGCTTTCTCTAAAGATATTCAACTTGTAGTACATCACATTATGATTAAAAAGCTTCAAAATATAAATCAGTAAAGGCTTATGCCTTTTCCCTTGGACTTCTGAGGTTTGCTAGGCAGCTAGCATACCTAAGAGCAATCAACCAAGGTCATATCTTAGCCTTCCCTTGAGACAGAAGCAGCTGGATTCAGTATTGCTGCGGAGCGCTTTGCTTCATCAAATCCCTGTGGCTCCACAGCCAACCAGCATGTACTCGAGCGCTGTCACAAGGAGAGCTGCAGAGAAGCTAGAGAGGACTGATTTTTTTTCTGTCTTCTCAAGGTTCCTGGCACTTCACATGAATAATGAGAAGCTGTGTGATGAAACATCCTCCCAAAAGGAACCCATTATTTTTCTGAAACAGAGTGCTTCTACAAATAAATGTATAGTGTTTAGGAAGTGAGAATATCAAGAGGTAAAAGGACAGATATTCTAAATTGCGCATAAAAGCAGGTAGTGGATGTCTAACAAAGGAATACAATTTTCTAATTTATAAACATTTTCATTCACTTGAGTTCACTTGATATCCAAAAATTGTTGTGTATTAGGAGATATTATTGTACCCATTTTATAAAAGTAGAAATTGACATTCAGAGGTATTTATAATATACCCAAAAGCTGAGATTATAATGTATTTTTACCTCACTCCCTCTCTCCTTCCCTCCTTGCTTTCTTCCTTTTCTCTCTAAAATACACAAGGCATAAATACACTACCATGTGCACCCAAGTCAGAGTCTTCCGTTGACTGCACATTTCATAATGGATTTAGAAATAAATAATCAATAGAAAACAGATTTTGATGTGAAACTCTACTATACTGGAAGTGTGACTGAGATATATCTCTTCTCTACCAAGCAGTTAAGATCCTTTGAAGATTTAGATTCAGTTTCAACAAATACAGTGTATCTGTTACAGGCTCAGTGCTGGGTGCTCTCAGACAGGTCAAAATGATTAACTACAAGTAGTAAATACACTTGGAGAT